CAATTTTGGGCACTTGAAGTTTAATTTCATTCTGTGTTTAAGGGTTTGCCGGCCCTGATATAGAAAATGATGGTAACTGATGCTGGTTGGAGTAATAATTCTTTAGACCAGATATATATATGTATGTATGTAATTGTTGCAAGAAGAGAATGCAATAGACAAAAGCAAAAACAAAAACAAAAATAGTGTTTGAGGTTTCAGTGCTTTATTAAAACCGAAAACAGTCGCAGTACATTAATGTACTTATGCACATTCTGTAATTAAATACCCTAACAAATATTACATTTACATAATTGCGTTCGTGGGGTAGTAGCAGGTAAAGTTGCAGCGTACTCTTGCAGATGTTGCATTTGAATACCTACTAATTGCATGGCTACATTCTACTTCCTTATGCTTGTAATACAATACCGGCGAATGGCAAACTTCGCCGAGTTGGGCGATGCTGTCGTTCACCGTTCGCCCAGCTATTTCGCCTACTTAAACAGGATTAGAGCGGTAACGAAAAGAGCTGATCCCATTTGGTCGCCTTTATAATTTGGGTGAACATATTTAGAAAAAACTGAACCATATTTACAAAATGAGGAAGTGATAATAAATATAAATTTTAAAATAAAGAGAGATTATTATAAACTATTTTGTTTCAAGCCAGATTTAAAGAATCCACAACTATATTTTCCGAACATCAAAAATAATTCGTGTTTATGTTTTTTTTTCTTTTCAAACTTTGAAAGCAAAAAAGAAATATGCCCACCTTTGCCACGCACAGCTGTCATCGTCCAGCAGGGCGATAGAAATAAATCTATCGCCATGAAACGCCGCCGAGCGAACTTCGCATTTCGCTTTGGTTGTGTTCAATTTCATATGTATTCTAATTTTCATAGCGCGAATTTCGCTGTGGTGAGTTCGCCGTTCGCCTTCATTGTATTTCAGCTATTAGGTTGACGATAGAGTTGTTTCTAGAAGCGATGCTATGCCTTAGGTTCGGTTCTATGTTATCCCTACCAGCATATGGAAGAGACTTTCCTCGCCTGTCGCCACGATGTGACTTCTTCGTCACTTCCAAATTAAAGCGATAGTAACTCATTTCACAAAAACGAAAAACAATTATGCCGCCTTTCTAAATTCTAAACAGGTTGTTGGTTAAAAAATAAAAAACAAACAGCAAAAAAAAACGTTGTAAAAAATGTTGTTGCCATTAGGAAAAAGTGTGGAATTCGAGACTTTTTAAAAGCCAGAAACCTCTGCTTCTAAGAAACTAGAAATTTGACGATTTGCCAACTTGCGTAACGTTCTAAACGCATGCTCAAGGTGTTATAATTGAAAGCCATTTTTGCACATTCGATAGTTTGACATGGTAGCGATGATATTATGAAAACCACATTTTTAGTTTTGCCCAGGGCATCATTCCACCAGTTTTAATGTGCAGCACTTCGCTATTAGCTCTGACGACTGCTAGAGCGATTCTGGGGCCAGATTTGAATTTTGTTTTAATCAGGTGGTAAAAAGTCTAAATTTTTGTGTGGTTATTCCCTTAGATGTAGGTAATATACATACATTCCAAATAAGAACCATATCGGTCCATAGATATGGTGTTTTCAAATATCTCGACACCCGCGCCACGTAGCGGATTAATTCACATTGCATTGTGATCGGGTTCTGGGCAAAATTTATAGTTTCAAGTTTATAGCTCACCGGGAAGTTGGTTAAAAATTGATTGCCATATTTGATTAAACACAGGTTGATAATAATAAAAGCTTGAAAATAATGGAAATTAAATAAATGAAAAATAACCCGGAAAAGACCAAAAAGCATTGTTCCCATTCGAGTGCAAGTGAGTGTTTATATGCATATAAATTCTAAACTCACCTGTCACATTCAATCGTTTGGATAATAAAGTGAACAGCGCTTTATAGTAAAGTTATTAGTTATAAGTCAGCCCAGCAGTATTTTAGTAGAAACTTTTTATTACATATTTCCTTCGGCCGCAACTAACAACTTTTGAAGGTCGATGGGCGCAAAAAAGTGAGAACTGGTTTCTTCTGCATTAGGTGTCAACTAACTTGTAACTAACTACTTTTGGTCAAAAATATTAATAAGAAAAATAATTGTTTAATTTTTTACATGTTTATTTATTTGTTCTATTAACTTTACATACATACTTATTTGTTTATTTGCTTATATGTTTGGCTGTAGCTGGTCCCATATTCGAACTCTGTCAGACAAAACATCAAAATGATAATATAAAATTTCGATCTTCAATTTATTTGTCCTGAATTCGAAAAAGCATCTGTGACGTGCAGAAAAAAGTGTATTCAAAGTAATTGTTGTATGAGGATATTTGAATAGAAACTTGTTTAAAGAAAACAAGCACCCGATAACGTCTGCATGACTTTACAAACAATCGCCAAAAACGAACCAGTCCGCAGCGAAGTGTGATATTTTAAAAAACATATTTTATTTTACTTTTTAAAACTACATATCGCTAGCTAAGAGTGAAAGTTTGCTGCTAAGTCCACCTTTTCTAAAAAATTATATTTTGATGCAAGAAGCAAGAACAAATTTCTGAAAGAACTAACTACCTATTTGATTTCCATTCAGTGATACACAAATTTGCTAAGTCCAAAATAGTCAGTGTGTCAGTGTGATAAGTCCCAAAAAATAAAAATTGGTTTAATTTGGATAAGCGGTTTGTTTATTACTTCGAAAGGACTTTTATTTCGGACTTAAAAAATAATTGCCCAAGTTTAACAGTTATTACTGGCGTCAAAAAATAAAAGTGCGGATTTTCAGTTATTATTGGACTTATTCCCAAAAAGTTCTAAAAATAAATTTAATCCACGATTCTTTTCCAGGAGGTCCTTGGATCGAATGAACATTGATAACTTTACGACAATTTTTTTCCCCGGACTTTTATAACATCAAAAAAAAAACTGTTATTTTCGGTCCCTGGTATTGACATTTTAACATCTTGGGACCTTCTGGAATCAATAACCAATAACAGCAAGCACCTCTGCCCACTCAGCTGCAGCCAAGGGTATGTAAACGTGTTTTCAAATGCTCAATTCGAATTACATTCATTCAAACAAATTCGATTTTATTGAAAATTTTTTTTATTTTTTTTTTTTGTATGGGGAGTGATGCAGTCTAATATATATATATATATTTCATGATCCAATGATCGGATCTAAACCAGATTAGTATGGGACCACCTCTGAGACACTACCTTCCCGATGCAAAAAGAATTATCCAAAGTTATGCGGTAACATACAAAAAGACAAAAAATTAAATTTTCCGACGAACTGATAACCTCCTCCTCTTTTGATGTTCGGTTAAAAATTAAAATATTAGCCACGACTTTTTCCATTTCATTTACGATGTTCTTACGTCTTTTTGCATTTCAGGTGACGATATTCGTCTACAAAAAATGTTGCCTTCTCATCGCCCTCTTCTTAGTGTTTGTACGTAGAGGGCAAAGAGAAGGTTGCATTTTTCGGTAGAAACGAAATCGGCATTATATTTGGTCAAATCATTTTACTTTGTTGCGGCAATACAAATATTCTTCCCCTACTTGTTTGGCGCTCCAAACACCCTTTCGATTTTGGAGGAGTTCACTAAAGCACTCCAATCGTTTATCTTTTATGTTAAAAAAAAACTATCTAATACTGGGATTATATAAAAAATTTTCCCCGCTCCACTTATGACGAAAAGAATCCTGGCTGAAAGTGAATCTTTAATTCCTATCCGAAACACCATTTTGATGTAAAAATAAAAATTTCATTTATAAATTTCTAATTACGTACACAGTCCAAAAAAAAAACGCCGTACTGTTTTCCCTAAAGATATAAATAACACTGTTTACAGCAAAAATGTTCTATGGATGCCACTATCCAATTGCTATAGAGAATTGCTCGGTGATTCCGAAAATCTACATTAATTTTCTTTTCTATGGATGACTTGTCGAGATATTTGCAATTTACCGTTATTCAGCTTAAAAAAGAGTGGTTTCACTTAATCACATATATCTTACGAACTGATTAAAAAATCGTAATACGAGATACGGCAAATGAAAGCAAATAAAATTCTCCATAAACCGTTTATGCATCACTTTTCGATAGCCCTGATAGTTTCTGAGAAATTAATTAATCATTTCTAAAACCTCTTGCCTTCGATGCAAAACTCTACCAACTCAGGTGTACATGGCGTATGAGTAACACTCTTTTCTGCTCATATTTCATACAAACAATCATTGCGCCTTTTTTATTTGACCAATCGTTCGTTTTCTTATTTATCCATCGATTTGCTTTACTGGTGGCTTAATTATTTTACAAGTGATCAGGCTTTAACACAAATAACAAAAATTTACCCAGAAACTGTTATTTTAACTTTGAACTTTTTCCATTTTTTCATCAAAAAAAAAAAACAAAAAAAATCTGGAATGATTAATTAATTTCTCGGAAACTATCAGAACTATCGAAAAGTGAGGCATAAACGGTTTATGGAGAATTTTATTTGCTTTCAATTGCCGTATCGCATATTACGATTATTCAACCACTCATTTTTTAAGCTGAATAACGGAAAATTGCAAATATCTCGAAAACGTATCCATACAAAAACAAAATTAACTCGCTTTTCGGAATCAGCGAGCGATTCTACATAGAAATTGAATAGTGGCGTCTGGGGAACAAAAACAAAAGTCAAATTTGTGATCCAGTGTAATTAAATAATAGAATTTCCTTAGGCCGTTAGCAGATAATTTCAACGTAGGGAAGGTTTCAGAATGAGGGTAGGAATGAGGATATTTTTTCGCACTTCTGTCGCAAAAAGGCTCCTTACAAAAGGCATAAGATTTACTTAAAAGGCCAAATAATTATGAAAAAGAACCGAAAATCACAATTACTAAAATGTAGTGCTTTTATCTTAATGTATGTTTTTTTTTTTTATTATAGTATGCTAATTAAAAATATATTTTAAGCTTTGCATAATTTTTGCCATTATTGCGCATATGTACATACATACATATATGTTTTTCGAAATTATTGTCTTTATTTCTTTAGCCCTAGCTATTGTACGTCGATGCATTATTCTCCATTGATGTCATCATATCTGCAATTTCATCCTGGCGCAATGCCTCTGATGGGGACGGCACCCGTCGTCCACCAAGCGGAAGCAAATCTATATTCTGCACATGCGCACGCACGCTGTGTCCCGGCGGAAGCCCGATATACCATTTTCCAACATTTTTTATAACCGTGGAGTCGCGGTGTCGATGCAACCAATCTCTATCGCGATTCAATTGCAGTATCTTGTGGTTGCTTGTTATTAATGGTGGCAACGATCCAAGGTCATCATCACTGAAATCTAGTGAATCCGATAATGACGTTGAATCGTAGTTGTAAGCACTACCATCACCACCAGAGCCGCCATTACGACTGCTCCCCATTGGGATGCTGGATTTGGAGGAACCGCGTGATGGCGAATAGTTTGGTTCTCGACTGCGGACGCCACTGCGGTCATCGGATGTGATTACATTGCGATTATTGTTTCGATTATTGTTGTCTGGCTTTCCTCGGTTTCGGGGCGAACTGTAATCATACCCGCCTTCCAACAAGCCTCCTCTATTTCCCTCATTGCCCGACCCATAGCGAGTTGTCCCGCGATTGCTACTGGCGGAACCCATCCGATCACTTTTTCCTGTATTAACACCGCCACTCTTGGGTACTGAGATCCTATCATCCGAGTTATTATCATTCGATTCATTTTCATTAGATGTACGAACTTTTCCCGAGTTTCCAAAAGCGTTTATGTTATCAACGTCTTTACTCCGACTACCGTCTCCTCCGCCTCTGCTTGACTCACTTCCACCAGCCCCCCGGCCAAAATCACTCGCCAGTTTAAAATCCGTATCGCTCAATCGGAATTCAGCTATAGAGGGATTTATATGCGATCCGGGTCCCATTCTGTTCTTCACTATTCTGTACCCAATGCCAGGACCGGCGATATACTCCACAGTGCGCTGCACACCCGAATCATCTAAATAGGAGTAAGTGCCTCTCACAACACCATCTGAGCTTCGGCTTTCTGCACGACGGTGGTCAGGACCGGCGGCAATTAATTTATAAGTGCCATCAGGCCCACGTTGGGTGGTCATCTTGCCGCGCGTCTTTGGATGAGCCTTGTAAAGTGGAGCCGCATATGCCACACTCGCCGGATTGTCTGGTATAGAATTAAAGACTTCGAACCCGGTTCCCGCACCCGCTGCATACCGAACGCTGTGACGTTCGCCAACATCATCTAAGAATGAATAAAGTCCTACAAGTAGATTGGTGAATAAGGAACTGGTTTTTTCCATAAATGTCGTAAGTTGTCTTACCTCTCACACGACCACTGGAATCACTATTCTCAGTGCGGGATTGGTCCCCTGAACGGAAGCTGAAACTATACGAAGGATCGTCGTAAGGATCAGCCAAAGGGTCGTCCGGACTGCCCCGTGGATATACGGGATATTGCGCCAAATCCATTTTGCGGTGAATTTTCGGTCCATTAACCCGGAAGCTAAACGCCGAGAATACATTAATTAAGTTCTGGTATTGCGTAGAAGTGTTGTTCAAGTGACGTGTTCGAACATGCACATGAACATATGTATGTAATACATTAAATTACAATTTGTTAATTATGTGAACCAAGGGGTTGTGCACTAAGCTTGGGACCTGTAAAGTAAAAAACAGGTCCAATGAAAAAACCAAAACAGCTTCAATTATTTGCCTCCAAACTTTGACGACCCACCAAATGAAAGAAGGACTACGCTATACGGAGATGTACTGGGAATGTCTGGACACTAAATAGGAAAGGTGCCACATCAAATTGCTGGCTTGCTTTAAGGAATATCAGACCGACATCACCACAATAGAGGAAATGCGATGGGCGGGGCATGATTGCGAAAAATCACCGGCGTGGAGCATCGATTACAGCCAGTGTTGCCAGAGAAAAAGACCCTTAAAAACTTAAGTTTTTCCAAATAAAATTTCTCATTTCATTTCATGAATTTGCCAATTATGTATAAACGGAACCATTTTTGAATTCATAAATGAAAGAATTCATAAATTCTGTCGCATAAACGTGATTTACAACTGAATTTTTCGGCCCATAGGCGTCTCAAATATTTGTACACACATACATACATACATATAACTGTTGGGTTTTCATGATTTTTTTTTTGTTGGTGTTTTGCAAGAAATTTATTTCCGCTGATTTTAACTGAGTCGTCTACATATGTATGTGCTCCATTAGGAGAATCTCTTTATAATCTAAGCGATTGCTTGTGACCACAGAGCTATTGGCATACCTGCGTAGGCCGCTCAAGTCGATGTGGTTATAAGAAACCTAAACTTTTCATGCGTTGCACATTTCAAAGGTGAGATGAAGAATAATTAAAACTAAAATCAAAAAAAAAAAAAACCAAAACCAAATGTCGAAACCGTCTACTCTCTTCTTGTTGGTTTGAAATTGAACTTTAAAAGATGAAAAACTCGGCGAGACAATGCGCTAAAATTGTGCGATTTTCGCTTCAGCGCACTTCCGCCAGCTTTAACTTAAAAGGGCGAGAGTACTTTAACAAATGCATATATGTATGTATGTACTCATGTGCATACTAGGGTGGTCGATTATTCGTCTTTTTTCAGCAACCGGTTTTCGAGTTGTTCGAAAAAGGGCAATTTGGAAAGAAAAACCTGTACCCATTTCGAAATTAGGAAAAACGCGGGTAAACTGGCTTTATTTTTTATATAAGTAGTAAAACTTACTGTTGCAATACAACCAGCAAACAGGGTTTCCGACATGGCGACTCGCTTTCATGTGATTTCTTTAATCTGATGTTGGCAAAGATAGTAAATAATAGCTGCAGAACTGAACCGCTCAAGAAAAATTTTAAATTTACTACAAGAGCGTGGCCATTGCTGGCTTATGCTGATGACATCGACATCATCGATCACAAAAATCGCGCAAAGTCTGTTCTACTTTTTCCAAGTTGGATACGGAAGGGAAGCGAATGAGTTCGGCGGTAAACGAGGGCAAGAAGAAGTACCTCCTTCCAGAGCCATAGCCAGGATTTTTTTCGGGGGGAGCTTGTCAATAGCATTTTCAATCTTGACAATTTATCAAGAATAGAGCTTTTGATTTCTGTGCTAGAATCCCAATTCTTGATAAATAAATAAAAAATTTACAAATTATAAAAATTTTTAATTTATCAAGTGCACAGAATCGAGCTGATAACATTAATAAAAATTTTCTAACTCTACTTCCAATAAAATAAATATTTAGAATTTTAAGATTCTGAATTATAAATAAACTTGATTAACATTCCAAAAAAAAACGTCTAAAAATATCAAAAGAAACCCGGTTTTGAAAAATGGAGTCAATCATCCTAATGCATACATTATTTATTTATAGCAGACGCCACAACTACGAAACAGGCAATAAAACTCTGCAGTATACATATGTACATTAGGGTGATTCTTAAAAATCTAATGAACTAATTTTTTCAGTCTCAACCCCTCAATCGGTAATACCACGGTCCCAGATATCACATATAAATCTGGGTGCCGATTAGAGACTGTTAAGGCGTGACGCACAGGGGGGGCAAATTACAGATTCCTCTATTGGGACTAAAAAATTAAAACTATTATTTTTTTTTCATCTAATACCCGAAACCGATAGTCTCATAGTCGAAAATATCAACTATAAATTTTGGTCCCGACTGGAGACGGTTAAGACGCCTTCATAGGGTAATCTGAACTGTGACCCCTATGCGCCACGCCTTAACCGACCTCAATTGGGACCAAAATTTATATGTGATATCTTCGACTATAGTAGCGTCGACGTATGGGGCTGGTTGAGGCTTAAGAAATCGGATGTAAAAATTAGCTTCTTAAGGACCACCCTAATGTACATACATAGAATAAATAGATACATATGTATATGCACACATACATAGATGTGTGTTTTTAATTGAAGATGGATTGATTTGTGTTTGGGGTACATACTACAGACGAGTATGCATACATATCGTCGTTTAAAGTACAAAACCGCGTATCGTCATTCTGCAAAACCACGTGACTGACAGCTCTTGGTTCAATCCTTACCCATTCGTCCTGAAATAAACTAGCCAGAAATGCGATTCCTTTATAAAAAAAAGAGAACCATTTTGAAATACGAGTGTTTTTACTCTCTAGAAAATAATTTATGCAACCTCACATACGCGGTTTTGCATTTTGTTGATACGCGGTTTTGTACTTTAAACGACGATTTGTATGATAATTCAAAACAGCGGAAATTTTGAGCTCATAACGCAGAATTACTCACTACATGATGATACAGATTGTGTAAACATTTCGTTATGAAAATCTGGCATAGGCTCCGCGTCAGAAGGGAAGCTCTCTTGCCTGCATTTTCAGGGTGAATTGGAAGCTTTAAACGCGGC